CCTTTTGGGAGAGACAGACATGGAGGATGATGGTTTGGGGAGCGATCCTGTGCTATGTCTTTTCAAAAAAAGAAGATTATTTTCCATTGAAAGAGAAGGTCATACCTCTACAACATTGGTGGGGGAGGGGCCAGGAGACACTCATACTAGTCTTTCAGTGAGTTTCGAGGTCCCAAGGAACAAGGAGGTAATGACAGAGTTGCTAGATAATAAGATTGTGGAGAAGGCATCGGTAGACAGTGACTATATCGATCAACAGCTTACCTTCGTCTTCTATGGGTAAGGAGCATGTAGGAAAAGGGAGGGGATTTAAGGTGGGAGGTGATCGACCGAGAAATAGTCCAATAAAAGGATACAGGTTGCGCAGTGGTGGTGGGCGAGGGAAAAGAGAGATGCGGATATAAAAGCAAAAGACTAGCCAAGCTGGTTAATCGGTGATGGGTCCCATGAATTGGGCCCATTAAGAGCAATGACGATCTTATGTTAGAATGTTCATGGTCTTGGCAATCCACGAACATTTTGGGCTTTGAGATTTCTTCTCAGAGACAAAAAGCCTCAGGTAGTTTTCTTGTCATAAACAAAAAAAAAAAAAAAAACTACTCATCAAATGGAATCCATTCAACGGCAGCTAGGTTGGGCAGGATGCTATAGTGTAGGCAGAGTTAATTTGTCTGGGGGGCTTGCTCTACTGTGCCAACAAGTGGTGGATGTAACAATTTGTTCTACATAGCCAGGTCATATTGATGCCATCATTGGCAGGTTGAAGGCGACTCCATTTAGGTTTACTAGTTTTTATGGAAACCCAGATACGAGGTTATGCAAGCATTCGTGGGATTTGTTATGACGAATTGCATGGGATGTGACTGGCCCCTGGCTAGTGGGTGGTGATTTCAATGAAATCGTTGCGACACATGAGTATTTAGGCCGTCGGTTTCAAGCTATGTCACATATGAGGGATTTTGGAGAAACTCTCGAGGATTGTGGTTTATCGACGATGGGTTTCAAAAGGTATAAATTTACTTGGTCCAACCGATGGCGAGGTGTTGGCAATGTTAAGCTACGTTTGGATAGGATGGTGGCGAATGATTTAATGTTTTTAACTTTCCCGGATAAGCTTACTCATCATCTTAACTCCGTGGTGTCGGACCATCTTCCTAAACTAACGGGGTTTGAGTGGCATAGCTGGGCAAAGAGGAAGTGAAAAATTTATGTTCGAGAAACTTTGAACCACAGTTGAGGGTTATCAAGATACCATTACTAGTGCTTAGGGGGATTATCCAGTGTCTGTTTTGAGTAAATTGAACTCATGTCTGGCATCTTTGACCCACTGGAATAAGGAGAAGTGGGCTATATTCCCAACTAAAGTAAGATGTTTGCAGAGTAAGTTAGATAACTTAATGGGATAAGAGCAAGATGCAGAAATTTCTTTTAAACAAAGAGCTCTATCTCGTGAGATAGATGTGTTGCTTGATAAAGAAGAAATGTTATGGCATTAGAAGTTTTATGTATCCTGGTTAAAATATGGGGATAAGAACACAAAAAAATTTCATGAGCAAGCCAAGAAGAGAGGGAGACAAAATTCAATCAAAGGGATTTTGGATGACAGCGGCAATTGGTGTATGGTGTACAATTTTTTGTGACTATTTCCAAGGCCTATTTCAGACAGATAGCTCGACTAAACTCTCTGACATCATTGAGGTGGTATGGCCAATAGTTATGTTGGAGCAGAATGAGAGTCTAAACCGTCCCTTCTCAAGGGATGAGATTGAAGGTGCTTTGAGTCAAATGTTTCCTACTAAATTGCCGAGGGTAGATGGCATGCATGCCTTGTTTAATCAAAAGTACTGGGATGTAGTAGGTAATGATGTTGTGACTTTTTGTCTAAATATTATAAAGAGGGAAGCTAGTGTGAATGAAGTAAACCACATGCTTCTTACTCTCATCCCGAAGGTGCACAGGCCAACAAAGGTGACTGGATTTCGACCAATCAGCTTATGCACAGTGCTATAGAAAATCATATCTAAAACCTTGGTGAACAGATTGAAGCAACTCATGCCTTTTATTATTTCCAATTATCAGAGTGCTTTTGTTCTTACAAGGCTCATCACTGATAACATTATTGCGGCCTTTGAGAGTATCCATGCTAACGACTAGGCGGAAGTAAGTTGAAGAAGATGATCCTTAAGCTTGATATATATTTCCAAAGCGTATGATTGAGTGGAATGGAATTTTTTAGAAGCCATGTTGAGTAGATTTGGTTTTAATGCCATATGGGTTAGCATGATTATGGATTGTATTTCTAGAGTTTCTTATTCAGTTCAAGTGAATGGAGAAGCTACTGGTATGATTGTGCCAACAAGGAGTTTGCACCAGGGAGACCCACTGTCCCCTTACCTGTTCCTGATTTATGCTAAAGGTTTATCAGAATTGCTGACAAATGCCCTCATATTGAAACGTATTAAGGGGGTTTATGTGGCAGATGGAGCTTGCACTCTCTCCCATTTAATTTTTGCTGATGGCAATTTACTTTTCTGCAATGTGCATTTATCTGATGTGTCTAATTTTCTTCATATTCTCAGAGTGTATGAACAGGCATCTGGTCAAATGATTAATTTCGACAAGTCCGCTGCTAATTTTAGTCATAAGACTGATCCCGTCACAAAGCAACTAATCTCAGACATCCTTGGTGTTCGTATTGTGGCTTGCCATGAGAGATATCTGGTGCTACGCACACTTGCCCAACACAACAAAAATAAGATGTTTAGCAATGTTCGTGATATGTTGTGGCAGAAATTAATTGTTTGGAATTCAAAATTGTTGTTAGCAGCAAGTAAAGAGGTATTAATCAAAGCAGTGGGGCAAGCGCTACCTACTTATACAATGGGTGTTTTCATACTACCATAAAGGATTCATAAACTTTGAAGCCTACAAGAAGGCTATGGTGGCGAAACAGGCGTGGCGAATTCTAGAAGACCCTGGCTCCCTAATGGGGAGATTGTTAAAGGCTCGTTATTTTCCAAATAGAGATTTTATGCAAGCAACTACTATGCCTTCACCCTCTATGATATGGAAGGCTATTCTTTGGGGTCGAGAAGTTGTTGAAGAAGGTCTTGTGTTGCATGTTGGGAGTGGGCGTTCCATAAGGATTTTCCAAGATCGGTGGATTCCTGAGCCTTATAATTTCAAGCTGATACAAAATGGAGGGTTGGAGTCGACCGCTCTAGTGTCTGACGTCATTACTCCTTCTAGAGGCTGAAATCAAGCTTGATTGGCTACGTGTTTTCATGAGGATGATCAGGAGGCAATTTCTGGGATCACTTTAGGAGCTATTGTCCATATGGAAGATAGTAAGTATTGGTACTTTTCAAAAAATAGGAAATATATAATTAAAACTAAATACAAGTTGCACTACTACGAGGGTATATTCAATTAAGATTTTAAAAGAGTTTAAAAGTTTGGGTGTATTCAATTCAGATTTTAAAAGAGTTTGTAAAAGTTTAGTCGTATTCAATTCAGATTTCAATTGATATTAAAAAAATACATCGAAATCTAGGTGTACTCAATTATGACTTTTTAAAAGTCAAATAAAATTTAAGTGTATTCAAAAAGTAATTTATTTTGAAGGAATTAATAAGTTGCCCGATTTCGTTAGAAAATAAAGTGGTAAGTGTAAATACAAAAGGTTTTGACAAATTTTATGTGAACTCTAGAAACTTTGAACGTGCTCTACGCTTTCCAGTCCTTGAACGTTTGTGCTTGTCAAGTGGAGGTAAAAAATCTCTTCTCTTTTTCTACGCTTTCCAGTGCTTGAATAATTGTTGTTGCTATACATCATCATATATCCAAGCAATTGTTGTTGCTTGTGTTTGATGCACATCATGTATGAATAGTTGAATAGTTGACATGTCTCTGCCTACATCAAGTTCAGACCCATACATAATGCATTAATATAATACAATAATGAATTTGATAGAGACCAGACCAGACCACATATATTATCGTTTAACCTACACATAACTTTCAGCAGCATAGCAGTGGGGCAGATCAATCCCATTCCTCTTTCGCTGATTCCTGATCAAAAATTGGATGATTGATGATGACGATACATTATTCATTCATTTATTTGCCTCCTCCTCCAAGCAATTGCTGTTTCAACTTTTCCTTCTTTTCTTTTCTTTTTTGGTTGCTGTTTTTTTTCTTGAATAGTTTTTTGGTTGCTGTTTTGTTTTTGTTTCTGTACTTCTTTTTCTACATATTCCTTCTTCTTCATTTTTTGTTGATATTCATCAAATGTCGATAGCCTTCTTCATCTACAATCATCCTTTTTTTTTGTTCTGCGTTTCCCTTCTTTATCAATGTACTATATATATATATATATATATATATCTAGTTCATGCCAAAACAAAAAGGAAAAAAATTATCTTCATATATATATTTTTTCTTATGAACTAATTAAAGATTGCATGTATTATCTAGTAACATTATTAATGGAGATGGAAGAAGTAGATGAAGTACTATGGAATGAAGAAATCGAGGAAGAAAAAGAAGAGGAAATGGACGATGAAGAATTAGAGAAACATGATTTTGAAACCATTAAGATATTGTTGATGGCAACAGAAGCAATAGCTCAAGTGCTCAATGCTTTAATGGCTCTCATACATGATGGTCATATTGAACGTTCATTAGCTCGACGCCCAATTTCTACAATTGGGTACAATTATATAAATAAGGTACTGAATGAGGATCCTCGACACTTTTGACAACTATATAGGATGTACCCTGATGTGTTTCTGAAGCTATGTGGTATCATTAGAGAGAAAACGGATTTGCATGATACAAGATTTATTTGTATTGAAGAAATACTTGCAACATTTTTATTCACTGTTGGTCAAAATTCTCGATATTGTCAAACTCGTGACACATTTGAGCGATCACATTTCACAACAAGCAAAAATTTCAATAAAGTTTTGAAGGCCTTAAACACAATAGCCCCAGAGATGATGGTCAAACCTGGATCCACAGTACCAGCTAAAATAAGAGAAAGTACAAGGTTTTACCCTTATTTTAAGGTAAGTAATGACTACTTCATTCGTTATAGTAAATATTATTATTATTATTGTAGTTTTTTTTATTAGTTTTAGTACTGTTATTATTCAAAATACATAACATCTAATGCCTTAATTTATTTTAGGGTTGTATTGGAGCTATTGATGGCACACATATACCAGCAATGGTGACAGGGCGCGAAGTAAGTAGTTATCGTGATCGTCATGGTAAAATATCACAAAACGTGCTAGCTGCTTGTAACTTTGATTTGGAATTCATATACGTTCTTAGTGGATAGGAGGGTTCAGCTCATGATTCAAAAGTGTTAAATGATTCTTTATCAAGGAGGAACGGACTTAAAGTGCCACAAGGTATATATTTATTTATTTATGTCTATATTAGGTAGTACTATATATATTAATTGGATTTGTGTCGTATATTCAGATAAATATTTCTTAGTGGATTGTGGATTCCCAAATCGGCGTCAATTTTTGGCTCCATTTCGAGGTGTTCGATATCATCTTCAGGATTTTGCCAGTCAAGGTCGTGATCCTGAAAATGCAGCTGAGTTGTTCAATCTTAGACATGCTTCCTTAAGAAACGTAATCGAGAGAATATTCGGTATATTTAAATCACGATTCACAATTTTTAAGTATACCCCTCCATTTCCATATGAGACACAAGCAGAATTGGTCTTAGCTTGTGCAGGGTTGCACAATTTTCTCCGCAAGGAGTGTCGTTCTGATGAATTTCCTATTGAAGAAAACAACGAGCATTCAGCATCGTCATCATCACTAGAAAATGAGGGAAATAATTATGACCAAGTTTTTCAAACCCAAGAACAACAACGCGAGAATGCTAACCAATGGAGGGTTGGGATATCTTCAAATATGTGGAGAGATGCTATGAATGACGGGAGTCAAAGATGAGCAATAAAGCATATACTTATTCATTTTTATGCATTTAGAATTATAGTTTACTTATCATTTTTTTGTCATGAAATTACTTTTATGTTTTTACTTTTACGCATTTTTCATAAACATGCAGACATAAGTCCTTATTTGGTTTCACATTTGAACAAATTAGATGCCCTTTTTTTAAAATTTTCTTTGGATGATTGATTTGGAAGTTCAATAGCTCAAATGTTTTTGTAAATATATTTTTCTCTTTTGAAAATCTGGAAAAACGATAAACAGCCCAATATATATATATATATATATATATATATATATATTAGAACTCTAATCAAATCTCTTAAAATCTACGATAAAACTCTAACAATTAGCATCAAAATCAATCTAGGAATTCAATCAAACTCTATGTGGAGTTGATAGAAATCAATTGAACTACATTGAACTCTACAAACTTTACAACTCCATTTAACTTTTTTAAAATCTTAATTGAATACACCCTCCTACAATGTGAAGGGAATGGCGATCGAGGTGTTTCAAATCAAAGCTCACAACAGGTGTTCTGGAAAAGGATTTGGAAACTAGAGGTGCCAAATAAGGTGAAATTATTTATCTGGAAGGAGATTGTGGATTCACCGGCGTGCGCGAGGTGTGGTTTGAGTTGTGAAGATTCGGGGCATGCATTGTGGAGTTGTAAAAAGAATAAAATAATTTGGTGTTGTAAAAGCTTTGTGGCACGTATTCAGGCTCATGAAGGGTCTTTTGCTGACTTTTTTGAGTTGGCTTTAAAGGCGTTTTCACATGACCTTTTTTAGTTGGCTTTAAGAGCAACTTCACCCATTTGCCCTTAGACATGGCAAGGGGGGAGCTAGGGAGCCACTATTCATGTGAATAGTGGTTGCCCTTGCAAATAGTATTTTGTGTTTCCACCCGTTGTCATGGCTAAGGGCAATTACTATTCATTTTTTTGTTTTTTTCACAAATTTTTTTACCTCAATAATTAATTTGGGTAATATTTTGGGATAAGATTTCCGGGTTCCTACGTGTCAAGACTATTCATAATCGGATAAAATTTCTGGATAAGATTTTTGGGTTCAAATTTCGGATGAATTTCAAAATTCAAATTTCAAATAAATTTTTTTGTTCAAATTTCGGATGAATTTCAAATTCCAGATAAGATTTTCAACCAATCAAATCAAGCCACCTGGCATCTCTATCTTGCCAAAATTTTCTATAAAACCAGAGGCTCAGCTCATACCTCCCACACCACATCTTTCTATATTTTCATTTCTCAGAGTTAAGAATTCATACTTCATTCATTCTCAATGGAAGATTTTAGGAGATGCTTGGAGAGGCAAGAGCGAGAAAGAAATGAGAGAAACCATAGAGCATATGAAATCAATGAATTGTAGAGAGAAGTTGATGAACAAGTTGTCATAGCAATGACTTTGCAAGATGAAGAGAACCAAGGTCGCCGCCGTGGTTCACAAGTCGGCCGCCGCCGGAATGTAGACAGACATAGGCATTCTCGGGGTAAGAATCTTTTGGAAGATTATTTTATCTCAACTTCTTTGTACTCTAATGTTGATTTTCGAAGGCGATTTAGAATGCAACTCCATTTGTTCAATAAAGTCATGCATGATATTTTCAATTATGATGCATACTTTGTTCAAAAGTGTGATGTTGCTGGGGTTTTGGGACTTCTTCCGAAGCAAAAGCTTACAGTTGTTATACGAATGTTGGCGTATGGAGCATCTACTGATCAGGTGGATAAGATTGCCCTGATGGGGAAGTCCATTACATTAAAGGCTTTGGTAAGATTTTGTGATGCAGTTGAAACTCTATACACTAAAGACTACCTGCGTAGACCTACTCCCAAGGACCTCCAACGGCTTCTACAAAAAGCCGAAGCTCGAGGATTTCCAGGAATGATTGGTAGCATCAACTGCATGCACTGACAATGGAAGAATTGCCCAACAACCTTGCAAGGTGATTACGGAAATAGAAAAGGCCAAAAAAGTATCATCCTAGAAGCCGTTGCTGGCTTCGACACATGGGTTTGGCATGCATTCTTTGAAGTTGCCAGATCCCAAAATGACCTCAACGTGCTGGGTCAATCCCCGGTCTTCAACGATGTATTGAGAGGCCAAGGCCCCAATATCACCTATCAAGTCAACAATACAGTCTACTAGACGGGGTATTATCTAGCTGACGGCATCTACCCGAGATGGACCACTTTTGTCAAATCCATTCCGAATCCCCGATCCCATAAGCAAAAATTATTTGCTACATATCAAGAAGGACACAAGAAAGATGTCGAAAGGTGTTTTGGCATCCTTCAAGCTCGGTGGTTGATTATTCAAGGTGCGGCCCGTTTGTTTGATGAGGAGATCCTTAGAAGCATTATGATGACTTGCATCATCCTCCATAATATGATTGTGGAGGATGAGTACGATTATGATGCTTTAGAGGTCTACGAACCGGATCCAATGAACACGGCCTTGACACGGATTTATGAAAGGCTCATAGGGCCAAGTAGAGAACCGTTTGAGCCAGAACCGTTGGTGAGGGATGGTCGTTTCATGACCCGGATGATAGATCGATATACAGAGATACAATCTTTGTATATTCATGACAGGCGTCAAGTTGACTTGATGGAGAATCTATGGGCGGTGAAAGGCAATGAAGATGAATGATGGAGCATAAATGCTTTGGTTATGTTTTATTTAGTTTATGGTTTGGTTGTATTATTTTTTATTTATTATGGTTTGGTTGTGGTTTGTTATTATTATTGTGCCTTGTTTGTAGTTTTTTTTTTATTTTAATTATGTTTTGTTTGATATATGGAATATGTTGAATAAAAAGGTATTTTATTGAACGCTTTGTTTATTAAATAAAGAAATCCAATACAAGTCATTAAGAATTACAACAACTTCAATAGAAAACATGAAAAATACAAATACATAAAAGGTATGCCAACTAGTTTAATGGTTTTCATCATTTAACCAATCCGTGTTGCTAGGCCCATCATTCCAAAAAAGTCTTCTTCTCATAACATCCCTTCGTTCTAGCTTCCAAAATTATTTTATTTCAGGGGACATATGGCTTGTATCCATCGCCATGGTTTCCCGATCCGTCTTGTCCATATCTTTTTTGTGCAAATACTCCCTTTCTCGTGCATACTCGGCTTGAATTGTCATCTCGTTCTCTTGGCATTTCTGCTCCATTTCAATTCTTACGGCATTCTGCCTTGCAATTTCCTCCAAAAACTTTGAATTATTATTGCTTGAATTACACGCTTTCTTTACCTTTGCAGCCTTTCGGCCAATGGGCCTCGGCTTCTTTTCGATGGGTGAGTCTTGACTCATAGAGGAATCGAGATGTGAATCTGATGGCATTGAATCACGGAGTGGTGTCTCGTTTAACATAACCTCGAGACCCGAGGGAATAATTATGAAGCGTTTGCAATATTTCACCACCTCCCAACATTCATGTTGGGTGAAACTTTTTTTGCCACCCCCGGTTGCACCGAACCACATCTGTGCTTGAATAATCTATTTAACAAAAAAAAATGGAAATGCAAGAAATATTTAAAATATATTGGATATGCAAGTAACAAAAAAAAAATTATGGAAATGCAATTAACCTTACAAATATATTGGAAGTGCAAGAAATATTAAGAAACAATTGGAAATGCAAGAAATATTAACAAAATATTTAAAATGTTTTTTTTTTTTAAATCGATTTTTTTTCATAATTTTATTGCCAAAAAAATGCTAGCCGTTGAATTGGATTCGGAGCGTTGTGGGCGTGACACGTGGCTTCCACCCATTGGATGCGACGTAGCGCATGACGTCACAACACGCGGGCTCGACCTCGGGTTGAACTGACCTTTGGGCCAGCCCGACTTCGTGGGACCCACTCCCAGCCCGGGCTTGGGCTCACTGCTGGAACGACTTCCCTCTCCCAGCCCTGGGCTCGGCTGAGAACTGCTCTAAAGGAGCTTTCACATGACAACCTGGACCGCTTTGCATGTTGTGCTTGGAAAATATGGCAAATGCGAAATGATTTTTTGCAGGGGAGAACTTCTGCTGGGGTTGTGGATTTGGTGGAATGTAACATGGAGTGGCTTGCGCAATATAAACTTGTATGGAGAGATCACAACCCATTGTTTCCCCCTGCCTGGTTCGGAGGATTCGCCCACCTTATCACACCCTTGTGCTCAATTGTGATGGCGCCGTAGGAAAGGAGGACCGACACGAGGCTGGGGGGTTGCATCCAGGATTATAATGGCCTTTTTCTTTGTGGTTTTGCCGCTAGAGGACCAAGGGGTTTGGATGCGGTTGGAACTGAGCTAGCGGCCATAAAGGAAGGACTCCTCCTAATGCGGGCCAAAGCCTTCAGTCATTTTGTTACGTCTGATTCTCAAGAAGTTGTGAGCATGCTTAAGGGATGGAACGAATGGTGGAGCAATGTTGGGAATGTGGTAGAGGATATCCGAAGACTCATGGTGGACTTGGAGGTAACAGAAGTGCTCTTTCAACCCAGGTCCGGTAATGGAGTGGCGCACGCTTTGGCACAGTTTGGATTAATGGAAGGTACTAATTTTGTTTGGGAAGATATCGCTCTGCCTTGGCTAGAGTCGAGTCTTGACAAAGATATGGAATTGGGCTAGGTTTTTGTGTTTAGTTCATGACGGATGAGTTGTGGCACTCTTTTTCCTTGACCGGATTTTCCTCCTTTGGGGGTTTTTAATGGCAAGGTTTTAACGATGCCACTTTTTATGCCCTCCTGTTACATAATGTTGTACTGGCTGTTTGTGTCTTTAATTGAAGGTTAATGAAATTTTATATTGATCCAAATAATAATAATAATAACCGTCTTCCTCAACCAAATCTTTAACACTTGATCACGCAGAACAAGCATGGATAATTGTAGATTTTGCCACATTCAAGAATTTGGCTGCTGATCATCCTTTTCACAAGGAGAGTTTTACAATGACTTGGGTGTTTCGCAAGAGGGTTGGTGATTTGCAAGGCGGACAATAACCATTATCGTTTCCAGTTCACAAATGAAGATGATATGAGGGGGTGCTGGCTTTGGAACCATGGCCGCTCACCCAAATTTTACTGATTTTCGAGATGATAATTTTCCCAACTCTATAACAGAACCAAGTAAGACCATGCTATAATGTATTCCTTTCACCCGTTAAAAGAAAAGTATACCATCCCCCAACGCCCCAGATACCTTGCCCAGACTAATTCTAGGCCTAACCTAACATCACATCCTAGCATAGAAAAGACCATCTAATGTACCTAAACACAAAAAAGATCACAACTCAAGTATCATCAGGCCTCTCAATACTTGAGAAGATAACCTCCAACACATACACTCATCTTTTCCACAGAGAAGATTTTAGAAGATTTTTCAGGCCATAAAAGAAGATTGGAAGATTTTTTATGTCAAACACACTGAATCAATGTGAATGCCCTTACTACAAATTAAGGCCATATCAGTCAGGATTTTACTATGACAAAGCATAGTTAAGTGCATAGAGTTTCAAAGAGGACAAAAGAAAGAAGAAAAATGGAGTTCGTAGTAGGAAAATAAAATTCATTGAAGTCTTAGCCCCCAAAACATGGAAAACTCTGCACAAGTTGACCAGAAATCAAACACTCTATAGCCCGAAACAATGCTGCATACAAATAGGAGTTCATAAACCATCAGCAAGTCGAGCTAGGATTGAGGGCAAAACCGATTACACAACAAGATTGAATGGCAATATTAGCTCAAGTTTACCAGTAATGTAAATTCATTTATTCTTGGCAACAGTTATACCTACTGCAGAGAAATGAAACACTGCAATACCGAATAACGTAGTAACAGAAAAACAATTATTTTTGTCCAATTAACCATTACCCGTTAGATGAAAGCATATATATAAAGGGCGAGGATGTGTGTAACTTCGTGTGTTTTTCTGTGTGTCCCTTGAGCGGGACTCTTAGTGCCCGTTTGGCATTGGTTATTTGGGGTGGTGATAAGTGATTTTTTAACAAATTTGGGAAGCTAGTTAAGTTCACAAAAGTAGAAACAAGAAGGGGTTTATCGTAATCAACTTGAAGCCTCCTCTAGAAACATGAGTTTAAGAAGGGGCTTACCTCATCTTTGAAATTAAAATATGTAAGAAAAATGAATAAATCAAAATCAAATGGAGACAAATTAACACCAAGGATTATCTTCGACTAATTGGAAAAGTAAACATAACTATAGTAATTGAGCAACCTATCAGCAATGAAAAGACTTTGAAGTTAAAATTGCACATGGCAAGAAAGAACAATTCCCCAAGTAGCATTGACGTATATTACCTTTGCACTCTAACCTGCAATGACAGCTCTGAATGAAACAAAGCTTGAAATATGGACACATACATCAACCAATGATGGTATCCCTTCGAGCTCTAACCGGCAATGACACCTCTAATTGAAACAAGCTTGAAATATGGACACATTCATCAACCAATGATGATATCCCTTCGAGCTCTAACCGGCAATGACACCTCTGAGTGAAACAAAGCTTGAAATATGGACACATTCATCAACCAATGACGGTATCCCTTCGAGCCCTAACCGGTGATGACACCTCTGAGTGAAACAAAGCTTGGAATATGGACGCATTCATCAACCAAAGATGGTATTCCATCAACCTCAATGGTCACAACACTCCTTGTTCCAGGAGTATAAGCCTGCAAGTAAGACCCATTTAAAAGCAAGACTTGCCCGTCCTCTGTAAACTTCAATACTCGAGAAAAAGATGGAGAACCAAGTATGTCGCTGCTAATTTCAAGCTCTTTGGTCCAAGACTCATGAATGCCATAATCCTTCATCAGCCAAACAGTGATATTACTTCTTGAGCGAGATCGAACAGTTACAGAGAGGGAACCATTCAAGACTCCAAGGGTAAATTGAGTGTCTAGGAAATCTAAACAATTAGCCGGTAGCTGTACATCCAAATCATAAGGCGGCAGTGATAACTGCTGGAAACACTCGCTTTCAACATCAAAGGCACATATCAAAGTAGAACTATTCCCATACTGACCAACCCAATGAAGAAATCCATTAACATAAACCCCATACGGTTGAAACCGAGAGGAAGGGAACACAGAAACATTCCCAATGCTTCTCCAAATCCTCGACCCAACAGTCAAAACCAAAACTTCATATTCATGAGATTTACCGCTTGAAGACAGATACAGAACAACTTTATAGGCATTGCTGATGGGACTATACCCAAATCCACAATAATATGGATTATCAATTCTCTCACGCTCACAATAGGCGATAGTAAGGGGAGACAATGATAGTGTTGGAAGGGCTAAAGACTCACTAGTTATGGGATTGGATATGTAAAAACAGCGGCGGTTCAATTCATATATGCAGAGCAAACCATTGCAAGAACCCAAAATTCCCACACGAAGGTTCTGGACATTAGGATCTTTATACAGCTTGAGTGTGAAATCGTTGGGGCTTGAGATCTTATTGAGGTCAACCAATAAGTAGCCCTCTGATTTGGGGTTTATGGGGCCACCGCTTAAACCATGGAACAAAAAGGAAGGAGGTGTTCGTGAAAATAGGTCTTTGGTAAAGTAGGGGTCTGAGAGCGAATGGCGCCAAGACTTGCACACACACTGACATTGGATGAGGGTTTTGATTGGGACTTTGCAGAAGATATGCACTGTTATGTGGTCTGGCAATTGCAGAATGTAGGGTTTATTATCATGTTCTTCTTTCTCAGTGTTGGTTTTCTCCATGGCTACAGGTACAGCCATGTATGTTTGCTGCAACAGAATCACTGCAGACTCTGAAATGAAGGTTCATCTTTATTAAACATTCAACATGTACCAAATCCACCATATAATGAGAGTGAAAATGGAGACTCATTTACCCAACAATTTTTTTCTTTTGTTAAATCCAACAACAATGAGGAAAAAGAAATGCATTCTAAGTCAGAATTTTCATAAGAAAGCTTCAACCCACCATGAGAAAACAAAGCCATGAATCCAAACCCATCATTCTAATCAGAAAAAAGAGCTCCTAAAATTAAATACCCAGAATAAGATGCACCATAGAAAAATAAAATAAAAATGAAACCCAGAAAACAAAGACAATCTGGAAGAACTCACAGTACCTGATGTACCGACAAATGGATCTGACGAACCTCTGGTGGTTGCCTTTTCTTTTTCTGCTTGAATGAAAGCTCTTTCTAGCTCGTAGCTTCAACGGGAAGGGAAGAGGGCGTTAAAAGATGCTGCCTCTCAACCTTAAAACATTCGTTAGCTCTAACTTCCACACAGTGAGCCTGAAGTGAGCCTGCCTCCTTATACTCGAGTTCGAATCCCACTCCTATAAATTAGATTAATTACCCACTGTTGTGCTGAGGTATTTGTGTTGCGAGAAAATTGAACCCTCGTGCCCATTTTGATAACGAGGCAAAACTTTGATGGTGTAAAATGCACTTGGACCTAGAAATTAAATAGTTGTCTTAGGTTCTTTTGAATTAAGGGTTTTTCCCCACCACTTATCATAGATGTAAGTTCTTGAGAAATTACGTCTATGAACGGAAATGTATTTTAAATGTTTTTCATTTTCAAAAATACTGAGAACATTTTAAAGCCAGAATTGGTTGGTGTTTTAAAACAAGAATCTGTGAAGGTCAGCCTCATGTCAAAATGCTTAAGGGCTCGTTTGGGAATGCTTCTAGAATGGCTAAAAGCGCTTTCTGACAACCGAAAACGCTTCTAACAGCGTTTGGCTGAAAAGTTTAAAAGTGTTTTTGGGTCATAGAAGAGCTTTTTGGAGAAGCACCTACCATGTGCTTCTTCAGGAAGCACTCCCAAATGCTTTTCAAGAAGCACTTCGATTTTTAATGAAATTTTCAACAACTTTATAATAAAAACACCTTTATTAAAAGCACTTATGAGCAGAAATGCTTTCTAAAGAAGCAGTCCTAAACGAGCCCTAAATATCACTTTCCAAGTTTTCAAAGTTGTCAATGCTTCTTCGAGGAAAAGAACTTTGACTAGGAAACAAAAATAGCTTCTAAAATTTAATACCACACAGGTTTTCAGATAAATAAATAAAATTGAAAATAGAAGATAAATTTCCAAATTCTAGTTTTTTTTTTTCCCCAAATGCGTAAATTAATCAATATTTATCTCTCCTGAATGCTTTCATAACTCAGCAACCGCCATGATCAAAGACAAGACTTTCACTTCAATTTGACTACAATTTGTCAAATACATCTAAATTCTCAAAAACAACATTACATTCCAGTATGGTTAGTGGATTGTCATCACAAGATACTTTTTCTTTTTCTTTTTTAATGAAGAACAGCATATACATAATTTTATTGCAAGCAAAATAAATAAATAAATATACATTGTATACAATTACACCTAGCATGCTAAAACTATATACATTTTTCCTTTTGGTTGAAGGAACCTGCTAGTACAATCTACCTTCTTCCAAGCGCCTGACCGAAAATCGACCTTGGACGGAAATCATTTACTTAAGTGGGTGATGCAGAAAGTAGAAAGTCTGGTTGTAGTCTCTGCAGCAGTATCCCACAGAAGGGGCACAATGGTTTTAAGGATACTTCTAGCAAAGATGATGATGTGGTCAAAGATTTGAAGTTAAAAGGATAACCAGGGATTGCAAAGAGAGTCTCTGGTGCCAGTTTGAAAGCTCGTCTATGACAACATATGCAAAACCATGTAGGAGTAGTAGGACAAACCACCATAGAAATGGCACACCTAACTAGTTTGTGTCCCTTGCCTCGACAGAAGGCAACTTCGGGAGATTCAAATGGAACTGATGCAGAACAATAGCTGCACTTCTCCGCTGCCAAGTATTTACTGGACTGGAGCCTGTTGTTTGAGGAGGAATACATAGCCATATTGATATAAGTATGTATCAATTATAGCGAAAAGACAAAGTTGCAAACCTAAGCCACTTTACCCAATGACAAGGCAAGATAAAGGTCAAAAGCTACAGGAACATAGCATTGTCAATTATAAAAGCAGGCAAACAAAAGAGGGCAAAAGAGACATCCATGTTGAAACAACAACAAAACTCACATTTATTTGAATTTAAGAATTTCTTACATTATTTATTGTCAGCCACAGTAGTAGGGTAAACCTTTTTGTATTTCAAACAAAATTTAGAACGAGTGTCAGAATAAGCATGTTTTTTTAACCCCTTGTATGTATGTATATAAGTGCAGCATGCAAGGTTTCCAGTAAAACTCCCATTATGTCATTTGTACCAGCCTACTAAGTCCTAATTTTACAAATAATTTGCAACGATCACGCAGGTTACTCAAACTAAAATGGAGTTCTACGTTGTAAAGAAAACTCTTCCCACGGTAACCCTAATACTTTTGGAACTTTTTGTTGATTGCTTCACTCCAATTACAATATTTTTATTTATACAATCATCAGACTATTCCCGCCATTTGCAAACAAAGAATTAGCAACCCAACAATCTCCTAATGACCTTAACTACCAACCCATTACGAGCTGATGCTGGCACATCATGAGGAATATTACACAGTTACCTGAAAAGGCAATTGTAACATATAGCCAAAGGCTAATGAACAAACCCAAACCGTTGAATTCCAGCAGCCAACTTCAACAGCCAGAGATGTTCTAAGCTTTACCATAAATAACAAATTTAACATTAAATGAAATACGGAGTCTTTTTAAGAATCAGATTAAGTAGGGACTCTACTTCTTCTTCTTTTTTACTTCTCTACGCAGAACAGATAAATACGTAATTTTCTCTACACCATGCCTCAGAGAAGTATATTTCATGCAGTTATTTTATGTCAAAATGGCGAGACAGAACAATGCATGGTCCTCGACGACTAAAGTAACAGGAGTCTAATCATATCACTAAAGCACGTAAAAGTTATGCATGACAAAGGATAAAAAATCAGGGTGTACCTCCCCTCTTGCTTTCCAACTTCGGATGCAAGGACCTTTAGCTGATCCTGCACATGATCACAATTAAGCTCAACCCACTGCTCCATTTGCGCTAGTCCAACAGGAAACCAATTTCCAGATGGAGAATTTGCAGCTGAAGTAGGCATCAGACTTATAAATGCAGAAAATGTAAATCCCACAAGCCTCTCACGGAGTTCTCTTTCACTGGCCAAAAGCAGATTAATCCACAAAGATCGCTGCTCTTCTTCAGCCTCGTGTACTCCTTCCAAGTTCAGCAGTTTACTGTTTATTTCATCAGTCTTCATCTCCGATAGCATTATGCGTCTACAGATTATATTGAGGAGGTGTAGTTGGCGAGAAGTGAATTTTGAGAAACTTCGGGAGAGACACAACTGAGATCCCACATAAGAAATAGAGAGCCACTTAATCAGTACGTGTTCTACGTACTCTGAGTTAGAATGGTTAAACGCCAAAAATGCTGTTACAATATCCCAAACAACAAGAGGCTTCTCTTGGGTTTCATACTGCTTTAAAGACCATAGAAAGTTAGACTCCCAATAAACAAATTCCTTCTCAGGAAAACCACGAATAGATTCAGTGTCAAAATCAGGGGAATTGTTTGACAAGACATCGACTTGCTGCCCACCGATCCAAAAAAACTCAACAATGGCCTTTTGAGTCCTGAGAGCGTTCCCCAACATGTAAATTGATCAAGAATTATAGAAGCAAATAAAATAATAATAAAATAAAAATCAATAACGGAACTTTATATTTGGTTGCTTTTGTTATTTTCTATAGGAAATTGCATAACATTCTTTTATGCATTCTTCTGCTTCCTGCAATGACTATGACTTGTACAGTTGACGTTGGATATGCATTCTTCTTGTGCTTCTTTGGTTCTTGCAGTTTGATTAATTCTCATATGTGGAAAAAAATAATTATAAAAATAATAAAAATAAAAATAAAACTCACACATTTTTATCTCTTTTCATCTCCTCCATTACGTTTCTATGAAAGCTATTGGGTTCTGTTTTTATATTTTCTTCCTCCCCTCCATTTATAACCAATTTGGCCAGGTGCTTTGTTTTTTTTTTTTTTTTTTTTAAATTTATATATTTTCCTTATCCTTTTCATTCCATCTTTAAGGTTCAGTTCACTACTATATAAAATGTTTAACCACTCTCAAAATTTATGCAGGCCGCTAAGCATGGATCTTATAAAGCAATCTAGTTTGCATAAAAGCTATCTCACCTTCCCTCGTACATTGGATTTAATTTATCCACATCAGGATTTCGAACCTGCCATTTTCAAGTACAGATATTTTAGTTGACATCTGTATCCATATTAGAATAACTACAAAGTATTAATGGATATTGGAAAAAGAACATGAATAGCACCACTAATGAGCATGAGGTGTATTAGAAACAAAAATGAGTAAGAGATGTATTGGGTGAAAGAAAAAATCAGACCCAAGCAATCACAAGATTTCCAGGGGACACTGCCAGACCGAAGCAAGAAACAAATCCATCTGGAAACTGCAACAAGATTTTAAAATTATGTTACACTAGAAGGAAAACATTATAGTGGAAAATAGAAACATTAAATAAGGAGACTTAAAGGGTAAGAATTTACATCAGTTGAGCTTCTCAGACGAGGAGTATTTGAAGGAATAGATACTTCATGGAGGGAACTTCCACTTAAAATCCAACAGCGTACAACATTATCCTAGTATCATTTGAAAAGTATTGTTGCCAACTGAATAATGTATAGGATATGTTCAACTGAAAGTCCAAATACTTACATACCTGGCTGCAGCTGTGCAAACATTTCCCATCAAACGCCCAAGCTAATCCTGTAACCTGGTCAGTCCTAGATGCGTGAATAGCCAGCAGTATATAATATAAGATTTCGACAAATAAAAAGAGACTTACGGCCTGGTTATGCGCGTCATATGGGCCAATTTTGTCAATTTTTTTGCTAGAGATATCACATATCCACAATTCAAACGAGCCAGATCCTTTTCCTACTGCTAAGTGCATTTTGTGCGGAGACTTAGCAGGCACAATGACTGAAAGTGCTGAAACTGGGGCAAAATCCACAGTTGCAACCTATTTAAAAGTTCAAAAATAAAAGCACATTTAATAATATAATAAAATAACATGCAGAGTGATTAAAAAAGACAAGAAAAATAAAGATCCACCTCCTTTAATAGGGAAAAGGAAGTGTGAGTGGGTTCTGATGACTTCAGTAATATTTCATTATATGCCAGCCAGATCCTCACACTGAAAAGATAAGGAGGTGCAAAATGAGTACAGAAAAACATAGAAAACAAAATAACAAAACACAAAACAAGAAGCCCACAATCTAATCTTGAACAGATAAAAATAAATAAACTAACTTTTATGTGTACCCATCAGATATCAGATCAATCCTGGACACAATTTTTGCATATAATTCACGCAGGAGAACTACTGCTAGTATGTTGAAACAAAATCAACTTGACAAAAAATGACACTATAAAGGCAAGTAGTATTTTGCTTAACACCATTCAAAGAACCTTGTTTCTGTATTACAGAAAACACTCTTCTCTAAATAGACACAGAAAATTTCATATAAGAGCTACAAGAATGAAACTTATTATGATGCCCGCATACCTAACTCACCTCCCATCAGAACTCGCTGTAGCCAACAAAACTTGAGGACTTGAAGAATCAGAATCAAGCAAAGCCCAACTAATTGCTGTGATCCATGAATCGTGTGCCTGAAAGATCCCAATGAGCACCACAGAAGCTGGAACCCTGCTTTGATCAACAGAGTAGCACTCTGGCACAGGCATTCTCCATAATGAAACTTTCCCAGACTTCCCTCCAACTGCAAGTAAAGAGATTGCTGCACCATCTTGAGGAACTGAAGAGATTTTGGGTACTGACTGCAGCATCGGTGACCAGGAAACTACAAGTGATGATAGCATTGCACTGCGAGAAGCATATTGATCCGCAGTTATAGAAGGGACACTGCAATTTTCTGGCATCTTCCTGAAAGATTTTACTTTAGATTTTGAAGCACGGACATTCTGATTTGAATTCTTTTCTTTCAACGGGTCAGAATCAATCTCAAGCTCTATTTCATGCTCCTAATATGAGTAGAGTCAGAAAGACTGTCAGTCAGGGCTCAGGGCATAAATCAAGTGAACTGCCACTTGATAGATGAGAGGACTTACATTTCCATAGCACGGCTTCAATGAAAAAGCTGGTACCTCCCCAAAATTAATACTCACAAGATAATCATAAAGCTTGGTTGATATATCCTCAACCTAAGCAATAAGCATAATCAGTTCAGTAATATTAAATACTGCATTTTTTACAACATCAACCAGTGCTTAAACTGTGGATATTATATACCTCTATCCATTCAGCACAAAAATCACAAAATGGCAGACGGTAGAGCTTGACGAATCCTTGCCTGGTGCAGACAGCCAGCAAGCAGCCTGCATTTGGAGCAAGCCCAACTGGGGACCATGAAATCGATCGGACACAAGGTTCATCCCGTGATAAAACGGTCGGCAGCATGCAACCAGATAATAAATCTGCAAAAATAGAAAATATTTTTTTAGAAAAAGGAAGATAATATTCCAATAACAACCCAGTTACGCTGTTGTTGAAAACTTGAGATTCAGATTGTTAACAATGGAAATGGAAATAGATATTTTATTTGAAAATATCAAATTATGATATTCCAAATAAAACCCAATTACAAATTATGATATCATAATTGAGATATACCAAACTATGGTGTATGTACCTTGTCTATCAATGAAACCAATTGAAAAGGGTTGCCTTTTTTGGATGGTTATCAGGCCTCTCGGTCCAAATGGCAGTTTAGCCGGGTTCTGAGAATTCAGGAAAACACTCAAACAGGGAAGCGTAGCATATCAATAATGAAACCAAATTGTTTATGTTGTGAAATTACAACAACAACAAAAGGCAAAAAAATTTTAAAAGTAAAGGCGAGTGAAGTGAGAGGGGTGAAGAATAGAGTACCAGAATGGTTACGAGGTGGCCGGAAGCAACGGCGATGAGGTTCTCGTCCGACCAAGCAATGGCGTTGGGGAAGGAGGGAGAATCGACGAGCACAGCGGCCTGGAAACGCGACGCTGCGTTTTGGGTTTCGATTTGGGAATTGGAGGGAAAGTAAGACATGCCGGTTGGTTTGGGATCGAATCTCAAATTTGGGTTTACTTCTTGAAGAGATGACAGAACCCTAGTTCGAGTCTCAAAGGGAACTGAGATTTATTTCTTCTTTTTTCTGTTGTTTTGTTGGGTATGAGATTTATCAGTCTCACTCTAGTAAATGACAAATCCAACACCCGACAAGGCAACAAACTACATGTCGCTTACCATATCACAGTTCATCGGATAAGCCTCAAACTAGAACATGACCTGTTCGAGCCTAATTTCCGCGCGTCAGCCCATCTGGATACTAGGCCTTAGCAATGACAAAGGTTTGTGTCTTATTTTACCAAAGTTGGAAATCAGCCAGGACGCTTTGAGGCCCAGACCATTTCAAACCAATTGCCAAAATATTTTTTGCAGGTTAAGGGTTAATTGCCATTTATGGTAATTTAATCTGAAGGAATTCAAATTTAATTGGTTTGATTAATACCCAGCTTCTAGATTTTTTTCTCAAGGGCTCAAAGTTTGATCACCACTGTTGATCACTAAATTCAAAGTTCAAATCAGCAGATAAGAGGGAGGATCTTTATCTCCATAATGCCCACGTGATCCTAACGACAAGACATCTACAGAATAAGGAGCATAGAATGTGATGGGGAGTTGGAAGAAAGGTTAAATCGGAAAACCACTCCCCATAACCATTAAATGCCAGAAAAGAGGGCCAAGCTTCCTTCCTATTTCTCATGAAGGTTTTTCGTCAGTGCAAGTTGGGTTTACAAGAGATAAACAAGAAATAAGAGAGTTGGTTGTTAGAATGTCAAAATTGATCATCATGAGAACTAACTCTTGATGGGGGCTTTTCTTGTCAGATTAACCACTACCCTTTTTTTCGCTAGAGCAGAGAATCCTCCTAACAATATGTCCTCTAGATATTAAGGAATAATCACTCGTGCAGGTTTCCTATAAATATAGGAGGATGTGAGCATGATAAAGGACAGCAAAAAATCCAATCAAAACTAAACTCTCAGTCATACTGACAAAATCATGCAAGATCATACGATCTCAAAAGCTTTCAAACCCTAAAACAATCAAGCCGTTTGGTTTGAAAATTCATCCAGCTCCTAAAACAAAATAGGCAGAACTCAGACTTCTGACTTCAGCTCAGCTCAAAGGGGCAGTTCATAAAGGAGATGAGATTTCTCTCGTTATAAATTTGGTTCAGCACAGGCGAATCAAGCAGAATTCAGGTTTTTCATAATATGAAAACCTCAACAAATTTACAAAGATGCCTTGATGTCTCAAAATCACCATAATAGCTCTCAGTTGATCCACAACTAAGCAGAACATGTACTGAAGTGCAATTCCAAATTAGCAGTCGTCAATCCAGTTACTTCCAGTCTAGTCCAGACTAAAGATATTTCTGTTCTGCCCAAGCCTCTCCATGGCTGAAATTGATTAAAGCTCTACCAATCTCAACATTGGTATCGATTTCTAGCTGATCCTCATTAGTTGAAGGTGCTGACGTGCCATTCCAACAAAGAAATATCTAATCCAGCCTGAGTCACAGACAACAATCCAAGTAGAAATCAAAGTACAATGTTCTGTTGTCCTTCTGGACTTGGCAGTCTTTCTTTTGTTTAATTGTGTAATAGGCAGTTTCATTTTGAACTAGTTTATTTTATTTTTCAACACTTATTCTGGCTAGACTTACTAGTTTTATTGTGGGAAATTATGAAGTCCTCACCCATTTGAGGCAAGAAAAAAACTTATTTGGGAGATATTCTTCACCCAAATTCACAATCACTTGTTCAAAGTTAGTAACTTATGGCGCAAGTTATTTTATTTCATAGTCTGTTAAGGTTTTAATCGTTAACGGTGGCACGATTGCACATAAAAAGAAAGTTGACCTGTTGACGACCAATGGTTTCTAAGAGCAATTCCACCTATTTGCCCTTAGCCATGGCAAGGGGGGAGGGGAGCTAGGGCAGGCACTATTCACGTGAATAGTAGTTGCCCTTGCAAATAGTATTTTCCGTTTCCACCCGTTGCCATGGCAAATGGCAATTACTATTCATTTTTTTATTTTTTTCACAACTTTTTTTACCACAATAATTAATTTGGATAATATTTTCGGATAAGATTTTCGGGTTCCTACGTGTCAATACTATTCATATCTCATAATCGGATAAAATTTTCAATTTTAAATTTCAGATAAATTTAATATAAAAAAATGGCTGGTATTTATAGAAAAAAATTCATTAATTTTGGGTAATTTTTTAAAAAAAATTCCGAATTTTTTCTAGTATTTTATTGCAAAAAAATTGGCTGCCGTTGGATTGGAGGAAAAAATAAGATCGCAGAGCCCAGACGACGCCACGTGGCAACAGAAAAAAAATCAAATCAATGAGGGGACTGTAGCAGTACTGTAGCGATGACGTCAGCAGCCCTCGTTTTGGACCTCGGGCTGAAGCTGCCTTCGGGCCAGCCCGAGTTCGTGGGACCCACCTCCCCCCAGGCCTGGGCTCACCGCTGGAAACAACTTTTTATTTTTTTCCCCTCCAGCCTTGGGCTCAGCTCATTGCTGGAACCACTCTAACTCAATAGGGAACTTTACCCTACCACCACAGGAACTACATCAAAACGGGTGAACATGGCCAAACCAATTCAATTTGGTTTGGTTACTTCCTTTCAAAAGAAATTAAAAGAAATTAAGTAGACAATTTTGTACTGTCAATTAAATAATAGTTGAGATACTTCATTTTTATTTTTTAGGAGCTTTTATATTTAAAGGGGCGATAATATATTAAACTCACATACTCGAACCCAGGACTTTGCCTGTAAGAGCAATTGCTCCAAACCATTATATTAGTGGGTCCTTTGTAGTTGAGAAACTTCTTAACCTTGAAGATAGACATATAACATCAAATTGGAATGGCTTATAGATTTTAGTTTTTTTGCATTAAATGGTTCGTATGAATGTGTGGAATGAAACATAATAGTAAATGGTGATAGCCAATAAGAAGATACCATGTGTTAAAAAAAGAACTAAAATATAACTTTATCGTCAAGTAGGATTTGGGCCCTCCAACACTCATATGCCTGACTAAACAAATGGGCTTGAAAACTGCCAAAGAGGATTTGCGCTGCAGAAGCAAAAATGAACAAGCCCTCATAAAGAAAATAGACATGAATATTAAAATCATGTTGCAGGACCGAGAGGACAGAATATTTGAAATTGCTGGTAAGGTCAGTGCATTACAGTGGGGTACCACAGCTACAATCGCAAAATCGAATCCCTACTAAAGTAAACTCATCATATGTAAGTTTTGTATTAGGCTAATATTATTGTCGAAGACGCCATTGCCTGCTCTTTGCATTATCCTATTGCTTGGTAGGATCAGTAGAGATATCAAATCCAGGAGGGATGAAAACAACATCGTCCCACGTTGATGTAGAACCTTCCTGCAATATTTCATTGTTACTTTGGCTATACAAGTCAAAACTGACACTCAGTAATTGCCTAGAAGATAGAGGAAACCAAATCAAAGTTTACAATAATCGAGAAATAAGCAAAGGAATTGTACAATTTGTTCTTCAATCCTTGTGGAAAAATCTTTTGGTCAATAATTTATTAACAATAAATAATTTTTTAAGGAAAAAAAGTGCCTACCTTCATCCCCTTTATTACTTCTTCAAGAACAGCAACCTACAGTATAAAATCAAAATAAGTAAACAGAAAGAAATTTTCTGCTGCATAGTCAATAGCGATCCTCGAAACCCATACCTGAACATCCCCAGGTCTGAAGGCAGGATTTAATTGATTCTGCTCGCGAGAAGCTCTTGATAGTGAACTTTCCAAGTCCTCCTAGAAGATTAGCAAGGATAAGCGATATTGCAATTTGCATGCCAAGACAAGCTAGAATAATGCATATCGCAAGGTTAATATTTTAACTAACCTTCCTGAAAAACACTGGACGATAGCTCTTGCTTTGGCTTCTAAGAATCAAGCTCCTTGACTAACAAAATGTTTAAACAGTTCCACAATTAGTATGGGAAATTTATGCAAGAAGTTTGTAATGAAAGAAATGTCCAAAAAATCTTTAAGCCAGACAAAACTCCAGCAAACCAGGTTCACTGGAGCAGAAACGACATAAGCTGCCACAAAAACTAATGCAGCTAGGTGTCTATTGTGGACAATAATAAGAATTGAATGACAAACCTTCTCCTAGTATGGTCCACAGAAGAAACTTAAGAGCTAATACCTGATGCTTTCTCTTTATTTTTCTTACATGTATCCAAAGGAATGTACATTGTTTTCTACATTTTCAACTTTAGTTCCCTCTATTGAAAAGAAACAAAATTTTCAAAATTTTTAAACCAAATTCTCCAAGACCCAAAAGTATGAATCTTTTGGCCAATGAAAAGGATAAACAAAAAGGACTGCTCCTTTGATTGAGAACAAACCAATTCTTGCAAGTAGAAAACCTTATTACACTCTCTGCAAGATCCAAAGGAGAGAGATAACGCAGTCTATCCGGCTCTTGGGCAATGAAAAAGGAGAAACTGAATATGCATTTTTATCTTGTCTCTGACCGGTTTGTTATTTTCTTAGCCAAACTTCAAAACAAACCCAAATGATACTAAACCTAAGAAACCAAACTTTCAAAGCTCTTTGCAAAACCACCTCAACCTCAACACTTCTAGCTCCATCTTGGCCCTTCTCCTATTTCACCCCCAACAACAAATGATTTCTCACAATCTCTACCCTTTTACAATATCAATTTACCTGAAAATAGTTTGATGTCAATCTGCATATTCCCCTAGATTTAACCAGAATGAGATTGATAGTACAACAAAAAATTTCATTGGGTGCATCAACTGGATGTTGTGACACTACAATCTGGTTCTTAAGTTGATTTTAGGTTGAAATTATCATGCTTTAAGGCTTTTCATTCATTATTGGGCATTTATTTTAAACATGGTCACTACATGCTAAGTTTCATTTGGGTTCATACAAAATGAATGATGGATGCATGGTGGCAAAGTGATTATATGGTTGTGAACACGCATGCCTCAACTCAAACTGCTTGATATTTCATTTTCAAAAACCACAAACGGTTGGCTACAATTGATCTTATTTATAGACTGTTTAAGACGAGGTTTATAATGTAACTAATAATTCAATAACTGAGTTCAAACCCAAGAAAGACATCTCAAACTCTTAGAACTCCTAGAAATTTCTACTCCCAATATAATTAGTAAATATATTGATGCTAAGGAATTTTGTTCCAGAACCACCCTTGCAAACAAAAATCTCTAAAACTTATAAACTAATGACTCATTTGGAAAACTAATTTATTCTGACTGCCTAGGACAGAACCTATGAAATCCTAAGAGCTATCATCACGAGGCCTTATGTACAAAAATCCTGAAGTGAATAAAACTGGAATTACAGAGAAGCAGCAGCTAGATTAACCACCATGATGAAGAAACAATAGGTTATGACATAAGCTAGCATTCAGCGACCTTTCTGTATGCACTTTTTTTTGTTAAAAAACTTTAAAAGAGACCAGTAGTCAACTGTCATCTTATTGAGAAAAGTTGAGCACTTTAATGCATGTAGAATCATAATTGAATTTTTTATATTCTCACGTGGAGAATGTGTGATCAAATTAGTTTAGACACACGGATGAATCTCCTACAAAAAGGGAACAACGTAGGAGAAAACTGCAGGCCTCACAACTCTGCAGTATATGACTAATTCAAATTGAGAAAATCCAAGAGAAGAACCTGGAAAACTGGCACCCCGGGAAAGCCATCATCATCAGAAGTTCCAACCTTTTCCTTCTCCTACAAAAAGGGAACACAAAATAATCATTGTTAATATAAAACTTGCATATGACGAGCGATGAATAAGTGAGACATCATACACAGTCCACAGACTCTGTGCGCTCTGAGGACGAGCAGGAAGGGGGACTGCATGGGGGCCCCAAGGGGGGAGGGGAGGATAAGAGAGAGAGACATCATTTTCTGGCTGAAGAAGAGTACCATAAAAGTATTGAGCTTATTTCTTTAAGAAACCAAGTTTGAATCCCAACTTTTTTGGCAAATTTCTCAAAACCAATGCCAGTCACACCCTACTAATAAACTGAAGCCTATTAACAAGTGTATGTTAATCACGTTATCTGTTGGGGTACACTAACACAGTGCTTGGTTTCTAAACCTGTATTTTGAAAAGGATGAGAATGCTGAAGTTCAAATACGTCCAGTTCCGTGACAGCCTGTGAAGAAACTAACACTGTTAAGGCATCCTGGCCTATCCTGTATCGAGTCAAATGTGATACAGATAAAGCATGGGGTAGCAGACTACAATTATTTTTTTCTTGGGGTTCCTGGATGAATTTGTTATGGTTATGTTCACATAAGCAAAACTTCGCTTTCAGTGTCTTGAAAAAATTCAATTCCGAAAAAATAACAAGTCTATATAATTATTGTTCCAATGCCAACAACTTACGGACCTTAAGCGCGTTCTTGACTTGAGAATACTCAGGAATCAACCTGAAGGCTACTCCATCAACCTTGAGCTGAAAAACCTGCAAACCAAAACCCATTAATCTCCACCAATCTTTAACCTTTCCCATTCACAAGTAAAGGGTGCCAAAATAAATAAACAAAATCTCATCAAGTTATTCACATTCCCACCTTATTTAAAGCCACGGCCACCACTTTAGACCCGCTTCGCATTCCGGGGTCCATAATTCTGATATGCTCAAGAAGTGCCTCTGCATCCTCTTTCTTGAAACAAAACAATCCAAGAGACTTTCCACTTGAAGCACCCGAAACCAACACGAATTCCTCAGCGGCATTACTGAGAGCATAAACAGGCACTCCAGCAAGCCGCTCTTCGATTGCCTCGGTAGACATGGCGGCTTTGGACCCATTACCAGGGGAATTGGTGGTCTGGGTTTTGTTATTTACCGCAATTCGGGCCCAAACTGGGGTTTTCCCAGAAGAATGTTTGGGAACAGAGCTTGACAACCCAGTATGGAATGCATGCTTTGCTTGGTTTTGGAGGTTGGCGAAGGTGGACTCGAGTTGGGTTTTGAGGGAAGAAGGGTTGGGGTTGAAGACAGGAAAGTGAGAGAGGTGGTGCAGGAAACCAGAGCAATGATTTTGGATGTTGGTGAAGGCTTGTTGGAGGCTGAGTTCGAGGGGATTGTGTTTGGGTGGTGAGGAAATTTTTGGGTTCTTGGAGTTCCCCAAGTTCATTTTCTCCAGAAAATCGATTCACAGAACAGAAAAACTCGATGAGTGAGCAGGCTTGAAGAGCGAGTGAAGGGAAACTCGAGGGTTTATTCAACAAGGGGTTTTGGATTGTTCTTTTTTTTTTTCGTCATTCTTTATTCTTTATTAAAGTATATTTATTTAAGAAAAAAATTTAGAAAGGGTTAACTTCTTCAAAAACAATTTCAAATAGTAAGGGTTAATTTTAATTTAACTCAGAAGAAAAATTATTTCAGTTTAACTGCATCTTAGTATTTTGTTTTCGAATTTTAGTCTTTAGTTGGGTAGCCCTATGGTTGGGGGGAACTTGCGTTTGTATTTGCTCTACGGCCCCGTTTGGTTCATGGGAAAGGGGGCTTGGGAATGGGAATTCAATTGCTTTCCCATGTTCGGTAAGTCCAGGCATGAAAAATAATTATCTGGCACATGGGAAAGTAGGGGGGAAAGTGAAGCCCTCATCTTAATTTGGGTTTTGTTTTTCCTCTTCATGGGAAAGTTTGGGAAAATGAGCCAACATTCAATGCACAATTTTCATGACTATTTTGTCTCTATGAACAATTTATAATTACAACGTATCATTAAATGCATTCTTTTTTTATTTGATTTAATATGGGTATAATTGGAAAATTATACAAACTTTGTTTTCCATTCCTACTCAAAACAAACATGGGAAAGGAAACAAAGTGAAATCTCCCGGTTACTTTCCCGACATTACCAACCGTGGGAAAAGAATCTTTCATTCTCATTCATTGGGAAATAACATGGGAAATGATTTCCCCTCAAATCCATTTCGTGAACCAAACGGGGCCTACAGGTTGTCAGTTTGATTCTACACGGGATCAAACCAAGATTTAAGTGAGGGACTGTGGCGGTGGGTTGCTGTGTTAGTCTTCCTCGAGTATAGACCACACGGGTGAGTCTAATGGGCCCTGTTATGGGGTGGTTCTGTTAGATAGACGTTATCTGCAAGTTTGAATTCAAAGTCCTTATTTGTTTTGGATAAGAAGTCCTAGTTTTCTTGGGCCTAATTTAATTATTTTGTGATGTGATTATCTTTTTTATTTTCAAATGTATGGATTGATTCCCATGTAAATAGGATTTTCCTATAATCGTTTGTAACTATTAACCTTGAAATATCAATATAAATACGGATGCACCATTATGTTGATGGTATGCAAAGCTCACCACTCCACTCTTCTCTTGAGCATACTATTGTTTTACATGGTATTAGGCCTTTAGTCTCACGACTTGATCCATAATTTCAATTTATTTTGTTTCTTTCTAAACACTCAATTGTCTTCCATGACTAATCCCACTTCCAACACTGATGGAGATAACACCTCTCTTGCTCCCACCATACTTCCATCTCCCATTGTCACCTCCATGCCCATTGTCATCAACATTAAATTGGATCGATCTAACTATCCACTTTGGCTAGCACAAATCGTTCCCATCCTGAGAAGTCGAGACCTCATGGGGTTTGATGACGATACCTGTGTCTGTCCACCACCCACTCTTACTGGAGGCACTGTGGCCAATCCTGCGTACTTTACTTGGATTCAAGAGGATCAACTGATCCTCAGTTGGATCAATAGTTCCCCTACACCATCTGTGTTGTCTACTGTATCTAGAAATTAGAATGCTCGCGCATCCTAGCAAGCCTTAGAGAGAAGATATGCCGCCACGTCCCAGAACAGGATCTTGCATTTGCGAAATGAATTATCCAGAACCATGAAGGGTGATTTTTCTGTCAATGACTACCTCGAGCAAATGAATGCTAGTGCCGACAACCTGCCTCTTGCTGGAAAGCTAGTCAATGATGACGAACTTGTTCAGATTATTATGAACAACCTTTGTCCAACTTATGATATGATTGTCAGTGCAGTTCAAGCTCATGATACACCTATCACTTATGATACTCTTGAAGCTTTTCTCTTAACGGCTGAACATCAGATGGTGGAGCAAGTTGTTCCGATGCCGGAGAATGGACCATCAGCTTTTGTTGCTGCTCGTGGACACAATGGTTTCCATCCTCGAAACTTTGGATGTGGTGCTGCTTCACCCACTCATAAAGGCTTTCCAAACCAGCGAGGAGGTTCTTCTGGTGGTACTTTTTTTCAACTCAGCGTACTACTAATTTTGGGGAGTCTTCAGCATCGGCTACTCCAAGAATTGTTTGCTAGATATGTGGCAAGTTTGGCCATCCAGCTATCGATTGTTTCCAGCATATGAATGTGGCTTATGAAGGAAGAATTCCAGCCAAACGTCTCACTGCCATGGGCTCATCTCCCACCACCATTTCTCGCTAATCCAATGGAACTTGGCTTCTCAACATTGGTGCAAATGCACATATTACTCCGAAACTACAAAACATTATTAATCTCAAGGAGTATACTAGTAATGAACAGGTTGGCGGTGTAGGTATTACTGGTTTGCATATTTCTCATTTTGGTTCTTCCACTGTTAACACTGATTCTTGCAAGTTTTCTCTTAATGACATTCTACATTATCCATCAGCTTCTACCAATTTAATCTTTGTCCATAGATTTACCTCAGACAACCGTTGCTATATTCTAATTTTTCATGATTACTTTGTTGGAAAAGACCTCAAGACTCAGAAGATGCTTTTCCAAGAGAGATGTGAGAATGAATTATATCTATTTAATCTTGGCGATGGACTTTCCAATAAATCATTTTCAGCTTTTGTTGGCACTCAAGGTTCTACAAAGAAGTGGCACTATCGTCTTGGTCATCCAGCTAGTTCCGTTGTTAGGTTTTTAATTTCTAATAAACAAGTACCACTTAGTGGTACCTCTGATGTAAACTTTTGTTAGTCTTATCCATTAGGCAAAAGTACAAAATTGTCATTCAATTTGTCTAGATCAATTTCAAATTCTCCACTAGAACATGTACACTCCAATGTTTGGAGTTTTCCAATAAATTCGGTCCAAGGTTACCGCTACTATCTCTTGTTTGTTGGTGACTTTTCAAGATACTCCTGGATCTTTCCCATGAAACACAAACTTGAAGTTTTTGATCTTTTTATCCATTTTAAGAAGTATGTTGACAAAATGTTAAACAGTCCAATAAAAGTTTTACAATGTGATGAAGGGGGAGAATACACTAAGCATGCGTTTCAAAATTATCTTTTGATCATGGTATAATCCAAAGGTTTTCATGTCCTAAGCATCCTGAGCAAAATGATTTAGCCGAAAGAAAACATAGGCATCTTGTTAAAACTAGTATTGTTTTTCTGTCTCATGCTTCTATTTCTAATACCTGTTGGTTTGATGCTTTTCAGACTGCCATATATTTAATTAATCACTTGCCAACTAGAGTTTTGTCAAATAAGTCTCCTTTTCAAACATTGCTTCTTAAGTCTCCTGGTTATGATATGTTCAAAACTTTTGGATGTCTCTGCTTTCCCTGGCTAATGTCGTATACCACTAATAAAGTTCAACACAAATCCAAACAATGTGTCTTTTTAGGTTATTCTTTTATAGCCGCTGGAAGCTATCATTTTCTAAGAAACCCTAATGGTTTCTATCCAATTTGGCCAAGCTTTTTCCTTCATTTCTCCTCCCTTCTTTTGACTTATCTTATTCTGACAAGATTTTCTCTGCCCAATCTCACAAAATCAGGGATTTTTGGGAGCTCAATGCTCTTCCCGCAGCTGCCTCAGTAGAGAACTCCATTTTCAGCCATCTTTCTTCCTTCTTTTCTCTCATATTCTATGGCTAGATCTGATGGAGGGAAAGCAATGTGTATGTACACTAGTTTGAAGAGTGTTTTGCTCAAACATCATTTGGTTTTTTGATACCTTGTGTTGGGATTTGTCTTTGGCCATGTGCTGGAGATTTCCAGTGTCATGGTTTTGTCTTCAGCCATGTGCTGGAGATTTTCATATATTTTCCTTGGTTGCTTGGACCTTTCTAAGGTGATGGGCTAGTTCACTAAAGGGATGAGCCAACTTCCCAAAGTGATGGGCTATCTTTTCTAAGGTAATGGGCTATTTTCTCTCCTTTATACTTACCCACATATTTGGGCTCAAGAAATGAGCTTGAGTTTTGGGGCTCCCAAGCAGCCCAAAACTTCCATTTCTCGGCTCATCAATGGGCCTCATAATAACTCGTAACCATCCATACCACAACCCGCTCAGCAAGCCCCCAGGCATTTGCGTGGCTTGGGCCCACTTAAGTTTGTAGCGTGGCATGTTGCTTATTTGCTTGGCGTGGCACATGTATAAGCGTATATGATGAACTCTTTTGTACCCAAATTGGGTTTCTTCCCAAGTTAGGTGTCTTACTGGGTCGGGAATTTATTCGGGCCTAACCGTAAATTTTTTGGGCCTCAACAATGAGCTACTGGTTCATTTTGTTTGCTCGCAAGATCAGATTGCTGATTTGTTTATCAAGGGCTTGTGTGTTGTTCGTTTCAAGTACTTGGTGTCCAAGCTTCTAGTTGTTCAAAGACCTGTCAGCTTGAGAGGGGATGTTAGACAAATGTTATCTGCAAGTTTGAATTCAAAGTCCTTATCTGTTTTGGATGAGAAGTCCTAGTTTGCCTGGACTTAGTTTAATTGTTTTGTGATATGATTATCTTTTTTATTTTCAAATGTATAGATTGATTCCCATGTAAATAGAGATTTTCATGTAATCGGTTGTAACTGTTAACCTTGAAATATCAATATAAATACAACTGCACCATTATGTTGGTGGTATGCAAAGCTCACCACTCTTCTCTTGAGCATACAATTGTTTTACAGGTTCCTCATTATATTGTGGTTTTATCCTTGTGGTAGGCATTAGAAAGTCCATTAAATAACATTATGGCACCACCCCTAAAAAACCATAAAGGTGCATTTGGATAAGGAAATTTAAAAGTACAAAAGAATTCATAAATGACCGAATTTAAAATGACGGAAATTAATGTTGTAGAATTTATAAAGTTTCTTGTTTGGATAAAGGATTTAAAATACGGAATTTAACCTTTATTTGTAAAGTTATCTTTTTTAAAAACTCAATCTCTCTTGGAATTTTAGAAATGATGACTTTTTGATAGAATTTGAAGTTGGGATTTATGACCTCCAAATTCCATTTTTTTCC